AGTCATCCAATTTTATGGAACGTGCCCAACTTTTTTTCAGAAACCAATAAAACAAGAGAAACCCCAAATAAAGCAAGCCAACCGAGCCATCCAATCTTATGGAAGCCTGCTTGGACCTTGAAAAAAGTCAAACGCATGCAACCCTCGCAAGTCATCCAACCCAAACTCTCTTTCGCAGGCTCGCCTGGAAAAGGATAGAGATAGGCTACTTCTAACATTTGTATAGGCAAGAGAAAAAATTGAAACGAATCTGTCGTTGGAAAACGGCCAAATACATAAATCCTCAGACTCACTCCTCCCTCGGGCACAACTTTCAACACTGACCTCGGGCGAACTAACCTACAGCCGAATCCGACATTGCCATAATGCCCGCAATACTTCAAAAACTTTGGATCAGCCTTCCCGTGTGCCATACCTATCTTCACAGCACCTCCGCGCCCATCTTTTCTCTATTAACGTCCAAGTTACTAACCTATCACTAAAACTAACCATGCCAACACACTCGCCTATCCCCAAAACCTCAAATTAGCACTTTACCCGGCCTGTTTTCTGATAAGAAACAAGTATGGCATCGAATTTTCTCCCCTGCCATATCCGCCATCTCCATCGTTGCACCTTTTTTCTCCACTAACTCTGAATAGCTTTTTACTTACAAAAGGCTGACTTCGCCAATCGTTTCGCCTTGGTCAGAACCCACCATCTCCATCTCTCACTTGTTTGTCTCCACGAGGTATCACGAGAGTTACCTCCCCCTTGCTGCACTCCGGCTCATCACCCCGCCATCTTTGTTGTTGGATGCATCCGGCCTGATACGACGTCCAAGTTCAGCCTTTCTTTACTAATGCATCTAGTCGGCAAACATCTTCGCTTTCCTCCGAAACAGGGCAGCTATTAGACGGTTCGGACGGTCTTCCACCTCTATCTTCAGCCCGTCAGACGACTGACATGAGTAGCTCCGCTATCCTGAGAGAACTCTGCGGGGACCGGCTACTAAAACGGTCCATCAGTCTCCTACCCATATTCCCCAAATCCGACGAACGATTTGCGCGTCAGTATCGCTACGCCCTTCGCCGAGTCTCTTTTGGTCGCCCTACTCGAAGAAAGTTTTTTTCCCACTTCGGGTTCCCAACGGGCAATCCACTCATGATTAGCAGTCACGGAGTCGGGAGTGTCGGGCCTGCTACAGACCCTGATGGTTGTCGCAGATATCAAGGTAAGAACCTTGAGCGTCGGGGTGAAGGAATTTTGCCAATATACAGCCTGCAACCTGCGCTACTGTGCCCCAGACTACCCTGCCTAGGCGCTGTTCGCCACCTTCGTGCCCCATCGGCATGCCCACACTCAAACCCTTCACTGCCACCAGTAGCCTGAAGGGCGGCGCGCCCTCGGAAAGTTCCCGCCACTCAGTCTTCTTTTGCTTTGCAGACTCAATCACCCACCTGCTCGTATGCACGTTGAACTCTTCGGTCCACGTTTTCAACGATGGCATGATAGAAGAATTTCGCCAGCATCTCGAACACGCTGGGACCCGGACGGACCCGCCAAAGGAGGCGCGTAGTAAAGGTCCTCGTTTGCCATGGTGACCACTTCGTGGAGATTGTCACGTCCGACTTTAAGAAAAGTCAAAGCATAGGTCAAATAATAACAACGACAAACAAAAAAAAAACTGTTAGTACCGTTCCGACGCCGCCAATGACGAAACCAAGGGGGATAACTCAATCGGGCCCTCAACCCCTCGGACTCTCCGCGCCGTTCCAATACTCGTACGCCGTCGCCACTGGCCTCGAGATGAAAGTCCGACACTGTAACCAATAGTGTTGGGCTCAAGGCTGGGTCTAGTATTGACGGACACCTAAATAAGCGGACACTGCGCGGCACGCGGATCTACCGAAACGTTTCAAAAATATTGATATGATATAATCAGGGAACAAGGCGGGGTGGGGCAGCGTGGGCACGTGGTGCGCGCACGTGCGATGGCCTTGGCGCTTTCGCGCACATGTCGTGACAATGCTCTCCTTTCTCGCCATGTGTGCCTCTTTGGCCGTTGCTCCGAAAATGCGCCAAGATCTCGCTATCAGGATTACATTGTTTCTGCACACTTGTGGGATGGGGTGGGTAGGAGCAGGGACCGTTCCCACTCTGATAGCAGTGTGACGGACCCGCTGGGATGGCGGTCCGTCAAGATCAAGACGAAGGGATGAGGGAGATGGAGATGGAGCTGGAAGGGACAGCCCACCTGCTGCTGTCGTGTTGGCCGCTGCTTGCCGCTCGGAGAGGGGCAGGTGGGGGGGTGTAAATAGTTGGCGTGACACTCTTCAACATCAACGTGCTGCGCTCAAAAGACATGTATAAAATTTGGCCAGTGTGTTAAGGCATTGACTATGCACGCACATGGCTGGTAGATGCCCAGGTTCAAATCTTGGCAGCTGCACTCCCGAATATTGCTATGATATAATCAGGGAACAAGGTGGGGCGGGGTAGCGTGGGCACATGGTGCGCACACGTGCGGCGGCCTTGACGCTTGCTCGCATACGTTGTTTTTCGTTTCGTGTGCCTCTCTGGCCACTGCTGTTGTTGCCGCTGTTTCCCATCTGCGCGCTCCGAAAATGGGCCAAAATCCCGATATTGGGATTACACCGTTTCTACACACTTGCGGGTTGCGCGCATACGTTGTTTTCCGTTTCGTCTGCCTCTCTGGCCACTGCTGTTGTTGCCGCTGTTTCCCGTCTGCGCGCTCCGAAAATGGGCCAAAATCCCGATATTGGGATTACACCGTTTCTACACACTTGCGGGATGGGGTGGGTGGGAGCAGGGACCGTTCCTGCTCTGATACCACTGTGACGGACCTGCCGGGATGGCATTTCATCAAGATCAAGATGAAGGGATGAGGGAGATGGAGATGGACCTGGAAGGGATATCGCAGCTCCAACGCATACTCAACACGCATGTACTCCAAACCAGGGTTACCGGCGTTCGGGACGGGCCGAACGCCCGAACCCGAACGCCCGAACGTACGGGACCCCTTCGGGAGGCGTTCGGCCCTTCGGGCCGAACGCGGACAAAAAAAAAAAACAAAAAAAAAAACAAAGTTTTCAAAAAAATCCGAAAAAAAACTGTGTGATGGAGAAACATAAACTAAACAACATTTGCCTGGGCACTACATCCAAATTCTCTACCAAATTTGAATTAAAAATCCCATACAGAAAATAAACACTATGATAAAAATAAGAAAAAATAAAAAGAGAATTAAAATGAGTGAGTGTGCCAGCACCTTTTCGACACCGCCATCTTTGCCGATTTTTTATTATTTTTTGGCATTGACAAATGCCCTGACAATTTACAGATATGTATTTTACATAATCAATAACTCGTTAATTTTTTTTTCAAAAACTAATAATTTTTTTTAGGCCCCGAAATAAAGTGAAAACAAAAAGTTAAAAGTGAAAAAAAACAAACTAGTGAGTGGGCGAGCACGTTTTGACACCCCCATCTTTGACGATTTTTAATGTTTTTCTGGCTTAGCAGAATGGCTTCAAAATTTATTGGCGTGTAGGTTACATCACAGAGAACTCACAAAAAAACTTCAGAAAAAAAAACTTGTTTTTAGGCCCCGAAATATTTTTTGGCGGGGGCCGAACCTGGAGGTGTTCGGCCCCCGAACGGGGCCCCGAACGCCCGAACGTTCGGGGGCCAGCCCGGGGGCCCCCGAACGTTCGGTCAGGTAACCCTGCTCCAAACTGTGCAAATGAAGAATGAGACTGAAAACAGACTGCAGATGGGGTATACCCCTAGTGGACTGACTGGACTGGCCTGGCCTGGTACCGACAATGGTACCGGCAGGACTGGACTCGACTGACTGGACTGGCCTGGCCTGGTACCGACAATGGTACCCCTATGGGGTTAGGCCACAGCCTGGTCCCACATGCCGAACAGGCAAAATAGCCAGATAGCCCTGGGTCTAGGCCAGGGCAGCCAGAGGCACGCTGCAATGCATCAGTAAAAGAGGAAAGTGCAGAGGTGAATATCCTCAACAAGCACCATTTTGAATAAGCAGGTGTGAACCTGGTCAGCAACATGATCATCACGTCTGCTTGTCCTACTGTTTTCACTTGAGTGGTACACACTGAGGTATAACTTAGGGAGTGGGGTTGCGCGGGGGAAACTTGACGAGAGGAAGGTGGGGGGGGGTAGGGCCCTTAAAAGAAGAAGAAGAAGAAGAGAGAACACAAAATGGATGGTGCAAGGCTCATAATCAGCTTCGACGAGGGCAAGGGGCCATCTTTTCTCTTTCCTTTGGTGGAGTGTCACAGTCCCTTCCTGCAAGCCAAAGTTCACCTGCCACTGGTAGACAGCTAATAATTTAGTTTCCCATTTGGGAAAGGACCATTAATCCCTTCCCTTGGATGACCCCACTCTAACGCAGAATCCTTGGGCTATCGCATTCCCCCCAACACAAGGCAGGGCCACTACATCTGTTTTCGCCCTGAGGACTGCCTAAACTATATTGGGGGAGCTGGTGGTGGTATGAAATTGTTCATTACCCAAGGTATGTGAACTGTAGGTAGGAACAGCCCCCTCAGCCAATTTGAGCACACATATGCACAGTAGTTGGATTATCCCAAAATTTATTGGAGGACATCGATGCGTAAATCCAGTCAAAGATATTCGTGCTGTGAGGATGTGTTTAAAGTTGCTAACCTCTCTTTTGTCTAGGACAGTGTTGATGACTCAAGTTTGTCCTTCCAGCGTTTGCTTGTCCTAAGACTGCTGATGTCATTGCCACTGCTGCCACTGCTCATTCTGCTGATGATGACAACAACGACGATGATGATGATAAATTCATGATGATGATGATGATGATGATGATGATGATGATGGTATAGTTGTTGCTGCTGTTGATTGATTGATGATGATAATGCTAGTGACAGTGATAGTGGTGGTGCTGGTGTGGGTATGTCTAACTACCATTTTGATTCTGTTAAATTGGCATAAATGGTCAGATGCGGTTACTGGAGGATGATCTGAAGGCAGCGTGTGAGGGACGGGAGATGTTGCAGTTGGAAGTGAGTATCACAGTTCATGCAACTTTGTTAAACTGTATCCAGGAGCCATCTCATCAATCATACTATCCGAACAACACTCCCATCCTGTACTACGCCCATGGAATCAATTTTACTTGTTCTCTCGCTCCCCTTGTCCTTGACTCGCATTTCCCTTCCTCGTGTCGCCTGATCTCCTTGTTTACCCTGGCCCCAGGTGGAGGCTGTAGGAGTTGGGCATGCTCTGAAATGAATTTTCAATTTTTCCCATGTTCCTCAGCTGGCTGCACTGGTTTCCACCCCGCTGCAGCTGAACTTTTTTTTTTTTTTTTTTTAACAACGCTCCCATCTATTGGTGGGGGAGCATCACCTGCTGAAAAACGGGTTCAGTGTCCGATTTACATATAACAGTTGGAACCTGCGAATGTTGGAATGATAAGGTATGATTGCCTCCTCAGTCCCCCTGGGACCGCCAGATGTAACAAACAAACCAGCGACCCTGCCTATCTAAAACTCATTCACTCACCCCAACTCCAAACCAGTGAAGATCCACAAGAGCTAGTTCAGAAGGGGGAAAAGGGTCTGAAAACCATTCTGAAGATCTGAGGGTGGCTCTTGGAGGAAGCTTGAACCATTCCCGGAAGTTGAGCTGGTAATCCCTCTTGAGAGGGTCTTCCATCCCTTCTGCCCCTGGCCATGTAACTTCCCCTAGGCTCCTCCTTGCAGACCCTCCTAGCCAATCCATTGTGAATTTCTGAACTGTTTTTTTAATATCCTTCTTCTGCTTAAGATGAATTAATTTAGCTTTGGTAGCAGACCATTGCGCTCCGACTTCCGTTTGTACAAATTGTAACACATGATCAGATATCTCTGCTCCTTCCAGATACACCCCTTCTCTAGCCAGGACGCATCTTTTATACCATAAGGTCCATAATACTACCTTGCGACCAATTTTCAAGAGGTTGTCTTGAAATTAGAAAGTGCGATATTTTGGGGAATCCAGTATCCTAGTAGAATTGCTTTCCAGTCCCAAGGCCAATCTATTTGTGTTAATCCCCTCCATATACAATCCCATCTTCTCCAAAGAAGAACTGAGCCTGGACATTGCATGAAGATATGTTCTATAGTTTCTTTAATTTTCCCTATTTGGGAATACTGTTAAACAGGAACTACACCAGGGTGTTGCTAGGCCTCTCTGCTCAAGTGAGGAATGATCTATGAGCCAATCATTCGTTAGCAAACAGCGGTGGGATATCTGCCATTGAAAAAAAAAAGAACTTGGCTGGTCTCTGTCTAATATTCTTGAAAAACTTTATGTTCCTCATCAAGTTTATATCAATATTTAGATGCCTAGGCCACCTTTCTTGAAGTATTGCTGAAATTTCAACCTTGGTCTGAAGCAACCTATATGTTATTTTAACAAATAAAGATTGTAGAACACTTGGTTTCCCTTTCTTTGAAGTCTGCCCTGTCCATTCCGCTGGGTCAAAGGGAAGTTCGGGGATAGGCGTCTGAGGATGGTAGGCTTTCCAACCCTTAATTGATGAGATATAAAGTTTTGTGAAGGAAAGATTTCGACTGTATTGGAAGGAGATTGCACCAAGAGGTGGTCCCTTGTGGATTTGAAGTTATTCACAAAGGCTTCGTGAGAAAAAGTGTGAACCGCCTGACCAATCACTTGTTGATCATCCAGTCAAAATCCTACAACCCAAGTTGTTTCCTTAATCGTAGGTCCTTGTCTCAATGTTTGACCCAATCCGAAGGTATAGAAAATATAATTTGTTCTAGATTAGCAACTAGTTGATGCACATATCTCAAGGTTTGTCTAAGCTGTTCCACCGATTTCTAGTCTTTCGTCTTCGGGTCCCATAAATCTTTAATCCTCAACACCCCTCTCTTTACCCACACTGTCCAAGGTGAGACTGAGCTATTGAAAATTCAACTATTTATGCTTGCGATCCATCGATTGACAAAAATAGGTTGTCGCAATACTTCCTTGTAACAGGAGGGAAAAGTTTAATTGGGTACGGGTAATTGGCGCCAAGTTTTGAGCATCGAGACCCACAAGTCATCAAATATAAGATCGCTTCTAGTTGCACCCCTATCTTCCTCTCCTCTGAACTGTGCATGTGTCTTTGGAATGCTCCAATACCAGTCTCCTAACCAGGTGAGTGCGTGTATATCCCTCGTTGAAGAAGGTGCAAGCCTACGAATCTGTTCCAGTGCCAGACCTTGCCAAGGCTTGTTTGTAGACAATATTACTTTTTTAATCCATTGTCGCGACACAGCTTTATATTGCAAGGAAGAGTCCAAAATTCCTAGACCTGCTTTAGTTTTTGACTGAATCAAGGACAACCAGGGGACTTTTGATATTACCTTTTCCAACTCATGGTTTCCTCTCCATAAGAATGGTGCCACCTGCCTTTGTAGTGTCTTTGTACGTTCTTTACTGATAGACCAAAGTGCTGATTTGTACCAAATAGAGGCAAGGATAGCATTGTTAATGACGAGGGTTTTCCTAAAAAGTGTGGTATTTTTATCTTTCCATTGATTCATTTTCTCCACGGCCGGCCTCGAAATCCACTCATCATTGATGGAAGGTTTTCCTTGATCTGTCAATGAAACTCTAATAATTCTTATTGGGGAATCCAAAGGAACCCAATTAACCCTTGGTTGTTCTGGTGGACGATGCCCATTCGAGTGAATCCATCAACCCTGTGTTTTATTCCCCCAATTGACGACCATGTTTGAAACTTAGGCAAAGTTGTCCATCAGGGCTTTGATTTCCATCATATTTGATTATGAAGCCTCCATCATTTGCAGTACCAAAGCGCAGGGCGTGAGGTTGGTCCATTCCGGGGGCGCAGCGCTACCGGGAGCGTTGCGCCCTGCCCGACGCTACCTACTCAGGGAGATGGCGCGCGACGGCGATGGTGACCCTTCTTTTTGATGCCCTGGCGCTTAGCGCATGCGCAGGAGACCGCAGGCGCTTGACCACACTATGTCACAAGCTGATGTGGCAGATGGTCTGACTCCCGGTGGCGTTCAGTTTCTGGGAGTTCCACGTTTCACTCCATTGCCGCTGCGTTGCTGCACGTGGCATTTGGCCTTAGAGGCGTTGGCTATGTCGATGTCTGTGGAGCACAGCGGAGGTACCCTGAAGTGTGAGTGATTACAGTAACGGTCTGCCATTGGGGTACTGCTCGCCATCATCCTTGCCATCACCATCACTACCAGGTCGCGATTTGACATCACCCCGTTGCTTCTTATCAGGCATACTGCTTGACATTAGGGTGTTGTCCGTCTTCAGGGGCACAACTTGGACGCGTCATCAAGTACAATCAAGGCAATGTTATCGCCATCACAATGAGGCTATCAGGGGTGCTGTTCGTTATCAAGTTGATGTTCGTCATCATCATCATCAAGGTTTGCTAGCATCATCACGACGTTAGTCGTCATCATTAGGATATTATCTGTTATCATCACTTGAGGAAAGGGTGTGATTAGTCGTTTTTCATCACCATTAGTTTTTTTTTTTTTTTTTTTTTTT